GCGACTGGGGTGAGCTTTATGACGGTGTGTAGAGGCACTCGCAAATAGGGCAGCTCTTCAGAGTTGTGGTCAAGGAAGTAGGCTAAGAGGCACCGCGCCACTGCTTGGTGACAAATGACAAGGACATTATGCTGCCTTTCAAGTTCCATGATAACTGGCTCTAAGCGGGCAACAAGATCTTCGTAAGACTCCCCGCGGACATACCGGTAATGAAATTTATCCTCATCTCGTCTAGCAAAGTCCTCTGGAAACTGCTCTTGAATTTCTTCGTATGTCATTCCCTCACATACTCCAGCGTCAATTTCATTGACAGCCTTCCATATTTCAATTGGTCTGTCTATAAAACTAGCCGTCTGATTGGTTCTTTTCAATTCACTTGTCCAAACTTTGAGGTCGGCTGGCATGCTCTCTTTGACGAACTTCCCCAGGACTTTACTGTACTCCCAGCCCCTTTCAGTGAGATCAGAATCCCCACCGATCCTACCTTGCAAATTCATCATGCTTTCACCGTGTCTTGACAAGTAGATGGCTCTAGGGGTGATGTGAAGATTCATTATGTAATACACTATTCTACTTTGCAAGTAGCCTTCCACTTTATTCATCAGAAACCTCTTACCACCATCAATCACTTTAAGAAATGGCATGTTAAGATCATGATCCAAAGAAATTGGTTCATAATAATCATTATAATGGTTTATCCGGGCTTCGAAATCTTGACAAGCTTCTTCTGAGGGGACCCCCTGATAGTCAGGCGAGTTGACTTTCACCTCTAGAATATTGGAACGTATGATCTCTTTGTCGTCGCAAACTGACTCGACGAAAAAACCCTTGAAACCATGAGTGGCGAGATGATCGGTGACTTTCGTTCTTCTTGCTCGAGTGGTGTTTGTAGCATCAAAGATGGCTACCTGACCCTTATCGTTCAACCATTTCGTTATGTCTTCAAGAGCTAGTTCTGCGCACTTTTCGCGAACGTTCATACCATCAGCATTGGTCGGATCGAAGAACGAGTGCTTGCAATGAGCGCCGGCCATCTCACGACGATATTCACCAAGGTTAAATACCTTCGTGTTCACACCGATCCAGTTGAGGTAGCGAGCAAGCTTTCTAGAGACATACGTTTTGCCTCGAGCCGGTAAACCCACCATGACTATGCAAGTGGGTACGTGTACAATAGGAGGACACGAAGCGGGATAAAGAGAACGATTCATCTTGGCAACTGAAGATATTCTCCCCTGAAAAGATTATATCAATTTCAGGTAGTTGTAAATGACGCTTTGCGAGTAATTTATGGCACACACTTCCAGTTGGAAGATGGACTTTGCCAAGTGGTTCTCGATGTTGGCCAAGCTTCTAATGTAAATAGGATCGAAAATTGCGTAAGCTGACCAATGAAAAGGTGTTCTTTGGAACCAGTCACGAGATAGCAAGTAGTATTCTGACCAATCACCTTTGAGAAAAATAAACCAATCATGAATGTAGGCGCGAACTTATAAATCGCCGGTAGCATTACTTTCATCATTTTCCATCTCTTTTCCTAAGGTGTAGACTTAAGGTTTGTTATCGATGGCTCGTACCAAGCAAACAGCGCGTAAATCTACTGGAGGTAAAGCACCTCGCAAACAGCTTGCAACCAAGGCTGCAAGGAAGAGTGCCCCAGCAACCGGTGGCGTGAAAAAACCGCATCGTTACAGGCCCGGAACTGTCGCTCTTCGTGAAATTCGTCGGTACCAGAAGTCCACAGAGCTGCTGATTCGCAAGTTGCCTTTCCAGCGTCTTGTGCGCGAGATTGCTCAAGATTTCAAGACGGACCTTCGCTTTCAGAGTTCAGCAGTGATGGCCCTTCAGGAGGCTAGCGAAGCGTACCTTGTTGGTCTTTTTGAAGACACCAACTTGTGCGCCATCCACGCCAAGCGTGTCACCATCATGCCGAAAGACATTCAGCTCGCCCGCCGAATTCGCGGAGAACGCGCGTAAACCGACGCGTCAAGAAAACAAAAACGGCTCTTTTAAGAGCCACCAAATATTAAAAAAGTCAATGACCAATAATGAATATTGGATCTTCTGTGGCGTTGAGCTAAAATTTCAGTCAAACCTTGCTATCTGTTTAACCTTTACTTACTTAGATCACACTGAAGCTTCTTTTGGCTCAGAAAGTGCTTTCCCATCCTGATAACAAAGGAAGAAAAATAGGGTGAAATAAGGTAGCTGCTTGTGGCTCTTCCCTTAACCCGCGAAATACGCGTTCGAGTGAGAATTAGGGTGCGTTCCTTTGGGCTGGACTGGATTAGTGGTCCAAGATCACTCGGATCAGGGTGCATGAAACCGTGACTAGAGTGGATTTATCGGCCTATTTGATGTACCATGATCGTCTTGGATCACTAATCCAGATCACCCAAAAGGAACGCACCCTTCCACGCGCACGGTGTAGACACGTAAAAGAGTACAAGCAACATAGGTAAAATGCAAAGTAGAGACTGAAAAAGGAATTTTCACGGAACGGAAGAGCAGGAGTACCTCCACTTCGCAGAACCTAAGAACTCCCGGTTTCTATCCCGGTCCCCACCTCTTCTCTGGCCATGGTGGCCTTGAGAGATGCCCACCGGACGTTCTCGCAGGCCACTACTCTGGGGAGCCTCAACAGGGAAAGCTACTGTAGTCAGACACATGCATTCATGTTCCCCTTCCCTTGAGGCAGTCGTGACGAGCCAGGCCGTCTGATCAGACTAACGCTTGGGAACTTCTTGGTTGTCACTCAAACTCTCGGTGCTCAAAATGCCATTTTAGGCGAGAAAAGGCGTCACTAATTACTAGTTCACATAAAAACGCTAACTATTTTGTTCAGTGTTGACCTATGAACGATGCCTCAATGTAATCCTCCATTGTTCTTCCTTGGCTACTAAAGAATGGATTTTCTAAGTAATGAAAGAAAAAAAAAACTCGCTCTGATGCAGCAGCTAGAAGAGTGTTAGCAAACTAAAACCAGTTGTCATGTGTCAGTGAACTGTGTAGTAGTGACTGACGCCTGCTGATGCCTAGATTTCTCCTGGCAAACTTTCAGTCAGTTTTTGTCACTATTTTTCCGGTATAATGCTCAATAATTTCTCTTTTTCACTATAATGCTCAAAATAATGCCTGTGTAAAGAGTAAAACCTTAATTGAAGTTGGACAACAAGTCACGGTCTTTCGATTTCTTTCTTTTGGACCTTGTGCGCGAATTTTGATACTGTTCCCGCCATTAGTTTCCAGTCTTCTTCTTCTCTGTCTGCAACAAAACAAAATGGCGGGTGGCAAAACGAACAAAAATCCATGGGCGACCGCGAGCAGTAATTTTGTTGTGACTGATTTTTTCGTAAAATCAGAATAATAATTATCATTTATTATAATTATCATTATCACTCCCGATGAAGAAAACTCCCATGTCCAGTCGACCTTCATCATTTAGTTCAAGCTCTAGCCATGTAAACAAAACAAGAAATGTTACTGCCAGGGTGAGTGAACCAATGTGACTTATTTCCTTGATCTTGAGTTCTAAATCTTTGACGATCAACTTGCTTGTCTGGTATTAGTAAGAAATGAGCTACCTCGCCTTTCAGTTTCACCACACAATCGCTTTCCTTTGAAACATGCTAAAATAGAAATATGAGATTTTAGCTTGCAAGACATATCCTTTCATATGAAAGCAGAAAACCATATAAGCTTAACTTTCTTAGCTATATATAATTTCTTAAATAATTTCCCAGACAAGGGTTGCAGGATCCCCAAGTAGTAATGCATATACCACAGATTTCAAAGGGACGTCATCTAGAAATGCAAGTGCTATCAGGCTGTCAACCTTAGACACACAGACACCTACAGGAGTGAAAGACAGACTGTTACAAAAATGCCAACAAGAGTTGGAGGTATGGCTATCAAAAGATTTACACTCTGTCTACTGATGCTAGGCCATGCTATGTATACAGTGCAGTTATTGTGGATTTAATTTGATTTTGGACTGTAGTTTTGATAATGATGATGACAAAATCAAAACATTTTCAGAACTGTGTAATCAAAGAGCAAATTCATACCATAAGATGACAACAAACACTCATGACTGGTTGTGGAGATATGATACCTAAGGGTTAAGCTGGGGCAGATACAGGATTACAGAGAAGGGGATTTGAGATAGGTACTGCTGAAGGCATTCCCTTGTGGGGGTGGGGGGACACCATCCCCTGGAAAAAATTTTTACTTTGAGGTCTTTGGAAATGTGATTTTTGGGATGCTGAGGTCATGTCAGCATGTTACATNAAATAACTCTTGCACGCCTTGCGTGCCTATGTTTTTAATTTAGGGGGTTTGACCAACCTGCTCTGAATTCCTTATATCTGCCCCATTTAAGTAACCTGTGATCACTTGATCGCAAGGGATACGCTCTATAATTAATGGATCATTTAAAAGGTTAGTCTAAAGTAATTGACTACATATGACTATGTTTGTCTGGAGTGATGGGAATGAAACATAACTTCTATTTCATCTCTTTTAGACTCTGAAAAGAGAAAATAGTGAACTTAAAGCAGAGCTACTCTTCATTAGGTAAGCTGTTTCTAGGCAAAGATAAATATAAACAAGCTAGTCATAGTCTGTAGGAAATCTTTGCCTTTGTTTGTCTGAGCTATTGTGAGGGGAAGTTACTAAGTTTAACAAGCAAACCACAAGCTTGATACTTGTAATGTGTAGTTGAATAGTTGGAAGGGTGCATGCAAGTTTACTACATATGGCTTGTAGAAAATAAGAGCAAGTAGACTGTGATAATCAAATTCAGGAGTTGAGTTGTATAATCATTGTTTAGGAAATAGAGAACATGTGCCTGTTTCTATTGAGTTAATTAGAAAGATAAGTGAAAGTTTGGGAGAACCAGAAATGCTATGGGAACAAGAACCATTAGGTGAGTGTTTCCACAGTTTTTCGAGTTCTCCCAAATTTTCATGAGTGTTTCTATAACTTGACAGAAACACAGAGACCTTTTTTTCTATTTCTTTTAGAAAATACTGCAGTGAAAAAAGGAAAAATAACTTGTTTACTTTGATCATTAAAATGTAAATTCTCTTTGCTCGTGCCAGCATTACACCAAGTTATAGAAACATGATTTTAAACCAATCAGCGTGCATATTTTTTGGGGGCTATTTTCTAAACTGAATATATTGGACACTGCAGGTCTCTTTATAAACAGCTTGTGGAGGAGGTGCCAATGGAGAAATTTGATGAAAGAAGAGTGAACTTGCTGAAGTCACAAGTTATACAACTCGAGAGACAGGTAAGGGACTTCATTACTCTAAAATTTTTAAAAAGTTATATCAAGTATGGTGTCGTATTACCCTGTAATTTAGAATCATTTACTAGTTGAAATTTTATTTCAGGGGTGCCCTTCAAACTGTTTTGAACAAAGAAACTTTGTGACTGGTTGTGCAAATTTTTTATAAGCTAGTAGACTATACTAAGGTAAATTGGTTTCACACTGAAAATTAAAAACTGCTTCACCTTTGTAGAAAAATCAACTGTTATGTTTTAAAGAAAAGTGAAGGAGAAAAAATAGATGTGTTATATTAGCCTGGTTAATCGTGAAGTCAGACCAGGTATTCTTTTGCACACAACTGTACAATTTATAATGTTTCTTGACATTGATAGTTGCTTGGAGCAATGCTTGAAAATTTATTAAATTCAGATTGCCTATAAGTACCAATATCATCTACCATTAGAAGTATTACAATACATGAATGGAAGTTAAAAGTATCGTATAGAATTTGTCATGTATAGTGTACAGTTAGCGTCCTGTGCCTCTTGACAGTGATTACAGTGTAAAAGGAAAGCAGATACCTCATTTCCAGACAATTTTAAGGTTTTGGTACTACATGGTACTTCTCCTTAGCGTTGATTAACTCTCCTCCCCTAAATGTTCTTTTTTATTTTTAAAATTTACATTTGTGTTTCCAGGTTCTTCTTCAATCCAGTGCATTACAAGCCAGAAGGAATGTTTTCCTGCAAGTTGAAAATAAACTTTTAAACCTAAAGGAGATCTTGAGGTACACACTATTGCATTTCATATGAAAATCAAAATTAATTTTAATTTATGAAATTAAATAATATGATGTATTTGTTGTAGATGTTATTTTTAGCATTTACTGTGTTTGTCTTGTAATTTTTAAAACTGTTTTTTTATTAAGATCTTTTTCAACTGAATTTCAACTAAATTTGGATTAATTACATGGTATTTACTTACATATGTTTATTAGTTGATGAAAATGTTGTGAAATGAGTTTCTCTTTGTTAAGTTTGTGCCAGATGTTGTAAATTATTTTTTTGTAAATGCTTCTTGCAGGAGTCTTCATTCATCAGACGATTCCTCAAATTACATAACAGTAGCACGTGAATATGTGCAGAATTTGGAATACAAAGTAGAAGGAGCAAGGCTTGATTTATATAAAAACAAAGAGGTATGTATGTAATTGGAAAATTACAATAATTGTTACAATATTACAATAACTTACAATAATCTCTCTCTGATTCTTCCATTTTCTAAGATTGCAGAAACTGACGATCTTTCTCTGCCAGCTGTGTACATGAGTGATTTTCTGAAACAGTCCAAAAGTGGTGAAGATCAAGCCTTGACATTGTTGGACTGTTGTAGTGGCAAAGTGGACCATCTTAACTTGAAGCATGTGGTGAGGTATTAATCTAGAGAGTCAGTTAAACTCTAGAGAATTAGTTAGCCCTAGAAAGGGTTGCTTCAGTCTTTTAATATATCACAGTGGATGAAATTGAGTTCTTATTAGGTTATGGACAAATCACCAAATATTTACCTCAATGTAAAGTATGCGTCGGGCCAAGTGGTCCGTCTTGGGCTAGCTTATCGCAGTTTCTGTAGCATCAACCGACCAGCAGTATTTCTACTCCCCCCTGGATGGAATGATAGTCCATTGCAGGGTACCCCCCGGCATTTAATTTGCCAGTACCTATTTAAACACCTGGCTTAGATTGTGTGCTGGCCTGATAGGCTGCCAGGCAAGCTTGTACATGAACTGCAACCTAAGGGGTAGAAGTCCAAGTAAGGGTTAGAGTTGTCTGTCACCTGTTACCTGTTAGTAGCTGTGAAAGTACCTGCACAAGAATGAAATATGATAATCCTCTCCAGTCTAGACTAGAATCCAAGCTCTGTAAGCTGTACAAGAACATGGTGTGTCTGAATGAAATGCTTCAACACCAACCTTCAGGGATCTTAACCAGTGAACATATATCACAGCCAATCAGAGACAGATTAGCAGGTCATATGACAACAGTGACTGACATGCTGAGAGACTGCAGTGAAGACCTGTTGTCTCTTTCTGTCCTCTACCCTGCTGCACCATGGGTAAGATTCAGTTGGAGTCATTACATTACTGCTAACATGACGTAACTGATGTATAGTTGATGGTCGACCTTGTCCCCAGAGTCTCACAACTACCTGCCCTTCTTCCCTTTGNGTGTGTTTGTTGTAATGTGTACTGTGTTTTCTTGCCTCAACAGCGAAGCATACCAAACATTTGAAGGAAACTTGAAAGAACTGCTTTGTAAACCCTTGGAAGGTTTGTTTTCATGCTTGTAGAATTTATAATTAAGGTGTGATTTGAGTTTGGGGGAAAATATTCTTACTTCTTGTTTTGACAGAAATTCTCAGTGCTTATGGAAAACTGAAGGACACAGCTTCTGAACATGACTTGAGAAATTTCCTTTCATCATTCAAGGATCATGCTCCCCAGGTAAAATTTAACCTACGTAGTGTAACTAGTGTTCCATGACTTAGGTCGTCATGCAAGAGAAGTGTTGTGTGACAATCATCTGTCACATTGCATGACAACTCCAAACATGCGATATTTACTATGAATTGCTGCAAACCTTTGCTGACTGGTATAGAGAAGACTTCAAGAGGTGGGCAGCGATACCATCACTGCAGTTGTAACTGTCGTCCTTTTTTCAGTGTTTTTCTGCACAAACAGAACTGATATTTGAAATGCATTGTAGTCCGTGTCATTAAACTGACTCCTTGCTTTTTCTCCACTCCCTTCATTCAGTTATCAGATGCCTTGGAATTTCTTCAGTCCCATAATCATGAAGATGAACAAGGTAATACAATTGTTAAAAGAGGATAAGGTAACTTGAATTCTCACACAGAAAGGAGAATGACAATGATGAGAAGAAATGAGAAGACAAGATTAGGTTCAAAAACCAAGAGATAAAAATGTTCAGCAGAAGTACATCATTTTCCCCATTAGGGATTCTAATATATCAATATTATTATTACTTCACCTGGTAGCAGTATGGCAGAGTGGACTTGAAATCCGGAAGTCATTGGTTCAAGTACCATTCTGACCACTAGTTGGCATTGTAGTCCCGAGTTCAGTTTCTTGTTCACATTTGTAAATACCCAACTGGTCTGTCTCTTGCCAGTTGGGATATTTTATGTTATATTCATTTAACCAGTACGTCACTACTTTTACCATTTGTTTTCACTGGCCCTGAAAAAACCCCATTGGGGGAGTGGTCAATTAATTAAGCTATATTTATTTACTTAGTTTTTTGGTCAGTGGCAATGCAAGTGATGATTTGCAGATGCCACAGAAAATGCAGTCAAACCTCTCCTACAAGCGTCTCCATAACATGGACACCTCTACATCACAGACATTTAACCCTGGCCCTTTGTTGTAGTTTGACTGTATTATTTAGCCTGAATGTGACACCGTTAACCAGATATAGAGATATCTATATCTGGACCTCTATATCACAGACATTCAACCCTGGCCCTTTGGTGTAGTTTGACTGTATTATTTAGCCTGATCATGACACCATGAACCAGATATAGAGATATCTATATCTGGACCTCGATATCACAGACATTCAACCTGATCTGATCATGACACCGTCAACCAGATATAGAGATACCTTTGGCCCATGCAAAATGATCATGAGACATAAAGTTTTGGTACTACACACATTTGTTTACTTTTTCATGGCATGGTTGCGGTTGAGGCCAATAACATCTTCATGTTTTTCCCCTTTGTCGTTCTAACACATTTTCTTGGAATTTCTTTTTCAAGGAGTATCTGCCTTATCAGAGTTCCATACACACTTTATTGACTCACTGCACTCATTGACAAGGGGGTGTGTAGCCAAGCGAGACATGCTAATAAAACAGCTACTGGAAGCCAAGGATGGTGGACTAAGTGGTGATACCACGACAGCAGACAATGAAACACTGAACACTTCTGAATGTGGACAAGATCTTGACGTCCCACACCAAACAAGTACATGACACACACTTGCACAGGGACTAGATTGTTGTCATCATTATCATCATCCTCGTCGTCTTCGTCGTCGTCGTCATCATCATCATTATTATTCACTGGCTAATGTGCTCACAGACAAAAGTCATTGACACTCTGCCTCATATTGTGGATCCTCTTCAGTTCCTCACTGTTAATCCATTGATTGTTCTAGATTTGTTTTGCTATCTGGCCTTCACAGTACAAGTTTCTAGCTAATAGGGTGTCTCGCAGAGCAGTTATCCACTGCAATGGTATCTTGATTCACTAGTTTGTCACACAGCACAAAATTTCAAAAGCTTAGCATGGTCAAATGATATCAATAGTAGCTTTTTTTCCAAGTCCTGTCAGATACAGGTTTCACACTAGAGTTACTACCTAAAATAGTCCACAATGTGTACTGGATAGATATTGCATGAGTGCATGATGTATTGCAAGACTACATGACTGTGTTGAGCAGGGCTAGAAGTCAATGAATAAAAGAAAAATGTTTTATTTAAAGCTGATGTTTTCCATTAAATGTGGTTTAAAAGTGTCATATATACTTAATTATTACATTCAAAACTATCCGTGATAAAATTTTAGTGGTAATAATGTTGATGAAAGTGCTAGATGAAAGTTTTTCATCTCCTAATAAAGCAAGACACAAAGGTGTTTATAAAAGAGATAAAAAGTACTTTGAGTACTTGGTACTTAGTATCTTGTTACATGACCTTGTAAAGTAATAATAAAGAAATTTAGAGGGTGCGATAACATCAATAGGTTCACCAGTAATACCATATTCAGACCACTGATGTTTCAGTGTAGTTTGCAAAGGTTGGAAAATTCAAAGGATGAAAAAACAATAAGGCAGTACAACACTAAATAATTCTGTATCCACATTGCTTGAAAACTATGCCAACAAAATATTTAAATGATGTCCAACCTCAAAATGATTCAGTTAAAAATACAATACAATGTCTAAATTTATAATAAAATTAAAAACAACTTGTTAAAAATGTACTGAGAAAGATCAGCATTAAGAGAATTTGACAACAGGGCTTGAAAAAACTGTTGTCCCGTTGTCCAGGACAAGTAGATTTTCCTTCTCGGCAAGTACCTTTTTATTCTCACTTACCCAATGGGCAAGGATCAGGCAAGTCATCCGCCAACTAAATAACTAAAAGAGCAAACTAAGACTTGCCCAGGGCAAGCAAAATTTTAGACCTACTTGT